CTTCACGGTCAGGGTGGCTAGGGTCTGGAACCAGCTCCCATGTGAGGTGGTACAGGCTCCCACCCAGGGGGTTTTTAAGAGGAGGTTGGATGACCACCTTACTGGGGTCATTTGACCCCAGTGCTCTTCCTGCCATGGCAGGGGGTCGGACTAGATGATCTGCTCAGGTCCCTTCCAACCCTAGAAACTATGAAACTATAACATGGGAAAAGGGTCACCTGAAGAAGGTAATGGAAGGTAAATTTTAAACAAACAAAATACCATGCTTATTATGCATTGTGTAGACAGCCTGGAGAATTCCCCGATGCAGGGGGTGGAAAGTTAAATATAGTATTTGGTTAAAAAAAAAAAAAAAGACTGGCTAATTTTCACACACTAATACCATTTTACCTAATTCTGAAGACTGGATGAGGGTAAAGCTCATCTTGTGCCTCAGTGTTAATTGATCAATGAAGGTGCAGTCATGAATGCCACCCTATTCAAGCTGGTCTACTGGTCAGACATTTTTTCAGCCATCTGTGTAACAGCAGGGTGTCAACTATCATCAGAGACAGCATATCAGACTTAAGAGAGCAGTGGTTTGGCTAAGTATAGCAATATCCTATGTAAGGGTGACCCTACCTCACTCACAGACTGCTGATAGAGGGCTCCCAGTTTCAGCATGCTGTTCCAGTACTTCCTCACAGTCAGCCCAACAGACATGCAGGGTCCCACTGCCTGAGGAGGAGGCACGGCTTGTTCATTGACAAGATTTTCTGCATAGCCAGTGAAGCTCTGAAGCAGCAACAGCAGCCTTTGACAGAAAAGAAATCCAGCTTAGAGCTGTATAAACCTGAACACAGAGAAAGGGCCTTTCCTTGCAGGTTGCTACAACCTTGCAAATCTAGGGGGGTATGTTCAGATTTGCATATGCAAAGCATCAAAGCAAGTGATTGAGACAGCATCAATGGGCAACATATGCCCGTTCTTCCTGGGCCTTTTGAGACTGGAAACCAAGTACAGGGGAACATTTGTGCAATTCTTCTTCTCAATTCTGAATCACTCTAGGCAGCAACACGCATCAGGGTTGAGGTCCTGTCCAAAGGTACAGAATCAAAGCAGTGTTTTCTTTGAGATGGGATACATGGAGGTAGTCCCTGGTTTGGGCCTGTACTTGGGCCTCCCAGCTGTGTGGGGGTGACTCGTAAGTGGGCTCTAATTAAAGCTATTACAGGCTCTGGGAAGGCCAAAGTGTTAGGGCCAGGCTTTTAGAAACAGCAGTGGGATTAATACGATTTGTGTACAAATTTTGGTTCTGTCAAACTCTATGAGACTTTAGGTAAGTTAGTTAATGTGTGCATTGGCTTCCCAATTTGTAGAGCAAAGATTACAATGTCTATTCCACAAAAGGTGGGGATGATTAGTTAAAATTTATAACTTACTTTGAATAAATGTAAGTTACAGAAATACAAACCATTCACATAACCACATTAAATTTGTGCTCTCAATTTGCAATAAATACATGTGAGTGTTAAAAGAATGCTAAGGTAACAAAGTCAGGCAATGCCAGAAGTAAGGATGCCCATGTAACCTTAAATGAATTCACTTGCATCTATGCATTATGATATCATCCTCAATTACACAACTACATATTATTTTTTATTAAAGGATGCTTGCCTCATTTAGCACACAGGCTGACTGGTGCTTCACTAAAGAGTATGCTTTCTGTTTTCTCCTCATAATTCAGTGTGTGGTCTCAAGCCTTATTTACTGAACAGTATCCAAACACTGTTCTAAAGACCAAATGGTTACTTTTCTCCTGTGGGTGCTCCTTACTGAAGTACCTGATCCTTTCCATAAATGAGTTTCTCTGCCTCAGTCACTAATCACTACACAGCACATGAGGCAGGAGTCCTACAGACAACAATCTTCACTACACAACCCAGATTCTCCTACAGGATAGGTCTATCCTGGGTACTGAATGAGGCATGTAATCTGGTAACTCTGAGAGGAAGGTGCATGCTCAGTTGCTCTGTGGAAATGGCAAATGTACAATCTGGTCAGCACAAGTAGCTGAGGTAAACTGGGGCAGGCTCAATAAGACTGAACTTTTCAGGGTTTTTACTGTCAAATGGGGATAAAGATGAGATTCTGCTTTACTTTGTGTGCCTGAATAGCAGCTCTCCAGCATGTCAGTGGCATTTTAAGCACTTATATACAGTACCACTTGCTAGACAATTTCCCTTAACCAGTCAACTATTAGGACTAAACCATGGGAGGGTCTTGCTGCTTCCTGACTTTTTCTGACGCTAATGCTCAGGTACAGGCATGCAATCATAAACCTCCCAGCTCATTTGTAGCCTACTGAGCATGCTCAGCTTAGTTGCACACACTTGCATGTCCACACTGCAGAAAACAGAATTGCAAACTGTGCATAAGTGCCTAAAAGGCCATTTACACAGCTGGAAAACTGCACAAAGAGACTAAGGGAACTGGGTTTATTTACTCTGCAGAAGAGAAGACTGAGGGGGGATTTAATAGCAGCCTTCAACTACCTGAAGGGAGGTTTGAAAGAGGATGGAGCTAGACTGTTCTCAGTGGTGGCAGATGACAGAACAAGGAGCAACTAAATAAGCCCAGTCCCCTCAGCCTCTCCTCATAAATTATGTGCCCCAACCCCCAAACCATTTTCATTGCTCTCTGCTGGACGCTCCAACTTATCCACATCCTTTCTGTACTGGGGGGCCAAAACTGGACACAGTACTGCAGATGTGGCCTCACCAGCGCAGAACAGAGAGGACACTTCCTAGGGCTTTACAGCCTTACAACCCTAGGAGGCCGTTTACAGCACTACAAGTGGCATGCCTGTCCGGGGCCCAGAATCTTTCCAAACCTGGGCACTCGGCCACATCTGGGCAGGGTCTCTCAGGGAAAGCAAAGGCGCCTCCTTGCAGCAGAGTCCCACTTCAAAGCCCCAAGGTCTTAGCGCTTCTTAAAGAAGAGGCTTCTTAAAGAAGAGGCCGGCGGGGTGGCCTCGATGCTTTTTTCACAGCTTTGCTCTTGGAGCAGAAACGCTGGGTACAAGTTGTAGCCGAGGCTGGGCCTGGCACGGGAACCGCCGGCCTGGACGCACGGTGCTTGGCAACCGCGTTACCAGGACACAGGCAGCATCTCGGAGGAGCGGCAGCCTCTTACCAGCAACGCTCCCCGGGACCGGCTTGTGCCTGCACTCGATGCTTCGGGGCGCCCGGAGCTGCAAGGCTATAGCTTAACTACGGCCCCCCGCAGTGCCCGCCACAAAGCCGCGGCTGCCGGGCGGGGGGCGCCGGGGCTCGGGCCGCCGTGCAGGAGCCCCCGTCCTCCCCCACCTCCCACCTGTCGATCACCAGCTCCAGAAGCGCCACATGGGAGCGGCGCGTGAGCTCGGCGTCGCCCTCCACGTAGTCGTAGCGCTGCAGCAGCGCCACCACGTCCAGCTCGCACGACAGCCGGTCGGGGAACTTCCAGGAGCGGAAGCGCGCGGGCCCGGCCCGGCCGCATACGTCGGCGATGGCGCCCTGCAGGTCAGTCACGTCCCGCCGCAGGCTCTCCACGCACGTGCGCCCACCAGCCGGCTGCGCCATCGGGCCTGAGGCCGCACGCGTCACTCGCTACCCCGGCAACCGCGCGGCCCCGCCCCGCCTCGGGCGGGACCATTTTCCCGAGGGGAGGCTCGGAGGGCCCTGAAGCCGCTCCCGCAATGGAACGCTCCAAATCCCTCCCCCTCGTCTCCCCGGAACTTGGCCCCCCCCGGTGGAACGTTCTACTGAACTGCGTGCGCATCTCCTGCGCTGGTTGGGCTGCGTGCGCATCCTTCGGGGCTGTCGCCATCTTGTGCGCGGTGGTGCGGGCCTGGGTGTGCGCAGTTGTGTCCGTGCTTCTCGGGACCAGGCGAGGCCCGGTGGGGCCCTAAGGAGGCACCATGCCGGCCGGACCCGTGCAGGCCCTTCCGCCGGCGCAGCCCACGCCCCCAGAGGGCAAACAGGTACCGGCGCGAGGCGGGGGCTTGGCCTCCCCAGGAAGTCCGCAGCGCTCGGGGGCGCTCCCAGCATGCAGCGGGAGCAGAGAGGAAGGGCAACGTTTCGCCCGAGGGGGCATCGCTGGCTCACAAGAGGCCTGAGCCCTACTGAGAGCTCGCACATCCCGGGCTGAGCCCCCTCGTCCCTGCCTCCAGCCCTCTCCCACACCTGTTTATAGGGGTTTTTTTAACTCATTTTTGCTGGGGCCAGGCTTTTAGAAACAGCCGTCGGATTAATAAGATTTGTGTTCTAGTTTTGGTTCTGTCAAACTCTGTTTATGATCAGTTCACTAGGCGTCTGTTCCAGTGCAGAGCACAGAGTTGTTGCCTCGAAGCTGCATGTTACACGTGGAAAGCCCGAGCCACTGAAGTGCAGCGGCTCACAGAAACAGGGTGTGATGCCTGTGTGAGACGGGTCATGAAGAATAATTACATATTAACTAGGGATGCTGGTTGTAGCCATGTCAGTCTAAGGACATAAGCAGGCAAGGTTCTTTGAGTAGATGAGATCTCTTTTATTAGACCAACTGAGTAGTTGGAGCAAAGTTCTTAGCAAGCTTTCGGGTGCAGTCACCCTTCTTCAGGTGTAGAGACCCGAAGAAATGAGAGAAGCTAGAAGTGTGGCAGGATGTCAGTGAGAATGTAAATAGGTAGAAATTAGAAAGGGAAGGGGGAAGAGAGCAGGGGGAAAAAGCTAAAGGGAGACATTAAAGTGATATAGACTACAAGGTGAAAAAGAGGCTGTCAGTGAAAAAGACAATAGTTGGAGATCAGGAAAACAGGAATGAGAGAAGCTCGAAGTGTGAGAGGATGTAGCAAAAATGTAAATAGGTAGAAAGGAGAAACAACAGGTAAAGCAGGGGAGGGATGGGAAGAAAGCAGGGAAGAAAGGGCCAAAGGGAAATAATGTTGCAGAGAATAATACAGGGTAAGAAAGAGGCTCTCAATGAAGTAGGAAATAGTAGGAAATCAGGGAGACAACAGGCAGAAAAGAAGGGGAAGGGAGAAAAAGTGGGGGAAAAGAAGAATATAAGAGGTAAGGTCAAGCAAGTACCTGGTGAATCAGATGTCAGGTAGGTTGTAATGTGTCATAAATCCAGTGTATATTGAGTCCATGATTTTTTGTATCCAGTAGGTTTATGAAGCAAAGTTCACAGGCTCATCTATGGAAGGTGTTTTGTAAGTTCCCTTTTAGGATTAGAACTGAGATGGGAGAGGGAGTGATTCTTCCTATGAGACATGTGCCCCCACAGGTAGTTCTTGTCTTTGATAGATTTTCAGTTCATTCTGGTACACAGTTTGGTTTCTTCTACGTATTTTCCATTAGGGCATCTGGTGCAGTGGATGAGATGTATAACATTTCTGGAGGTGCAGATGTAAGATCTAGGAATGGTGATGGTTCTGTTGTGGGGTATAGTTCTTGTGGGGGTGGAGGAGATATGTTGGCAGGTTTTGCATTTCTTGTTGTGGCATGGTCTGGATCCGTTTGGTGTGCTTTGAGTGGCAGGGAGTTTGCTTCTAGTGATGAGGTTATCAAGGTTTGGTGCTTGTTTCAAGGCTAGGATGGGTAGGTCTGGAAAGATTTCTTTCAGAGAGGGGTCTTCTAGAATGGGTTGCAGTTGTGTTAGGATTTTCCATGCAAGTTCCAGGGAAGGGTTATATGTCAAGTAATGGTGTGAGGTTTGTGTGGATTTTCTTTTTGTACTGCAGCAAACCATTACGTGGTATCTGAGTATCTTTCAAAAGTGCAATCCATCTCTCTGTAGGAATGTCCTTGTTGGTTGATGGACCTTTTGAGATTTGCTAGGTAGTGGTCACAAGTATTTTTCTCACTGCAAATTCAATGGCATCGGAGAACTTGGCTGTATATTACAGCTTTCTTGGTGTGTTTAGGGTGATTGCTGGTTCTGTGTAGATATGTATGTCAGTCTGTGGGTTTCTTATACATGGTGATTTGAATTTTGCCATCTTGTATATCAATTGTGGTGTCCAAAAAGGAAATGCTGGCTTTTGGAGTATTCAAGCAATAGTCTATGGGGAGGGGTGATGATTGTTGAGTCATTGTGGCTATGGAGTGGGCTGTAGCCACCCCTCC